ATTTCCAAATCATGTATATACGTTTCATATTTAAACCAAGACATGCAATAAATTATACTATCTCCGTCTCATGCGCTAACATTTGAGCATGAATAAGGATTTTTTTTATTAGTAATGTTTTTAGTCTCAGATCAGACCAGATTAGACTAAACCAGACCAGACAATACCAGATCAGACTTGGACAATTAAAAAATACATATGAACCATACTTTACCAGACCATACTATATCAGACCAGACCAAATCAGAGCAGACCAAACCAGACCAGAAAATTCCAATCCAAGTAAATAATGTGACTATTAAGAAAATGAAGTTTATATGGTTGATATTAAATCAATAAAGTTAGAATAAATTAGGAATGCCATAGAAGCACACAACTTTATCAAATTTGACATGAGACCATCATAGTGAAACGGACTAAAAGGGAAAATTGAGACATTTTAGCGGGAAGGAGAGACTTGAATACTTGTTTAAAATAATAATTATAATAAAAATATCTAATAAAGTTTATAAAACAAAGACAAAACTCACTTAATTATTATTATTATTATTATTATTTAAAATTACATATTTGGCCAAAAGCAACCGCATAAGTATCACAAAAAACATCACATCACCGTTTCTCGCTAAACTTGTGAAGAAATATCATCAATAATTGCTTCAAAAACAACATTTTCCAAAATGCTTAAAATTGTTAATCCATTCGTCTTTCTTGAGACATAGTTGATCACATATAATTAGAACGGGGTTTGGCAATTGGGAGGCAAGGGCTCCAAAAGACAATAATATAAATCAGTATTTTTGTAATTAAAAGGTCTAAAACACCTTAAAGGCTAACAAGATGTTAAGAGACGTGCTTTTATTGTTTCAACAACAACTGTGTTGCTTTAAGGACCAACGACCAGTCCTACTTAAATTTAAATGATATTTTTTAAACTAGACTTAGTGGCTCCCATCAAGACTTTTTACTTATATATGTCGTTAGATTTTCAAATAATCAACAAAAATTAAACATTAGACCTAATTAATGGACCATAAAAATAAAATAAAATGTTTAATAATCATATATATATATATATAATTGGTCCTAATTTTTTTTTGCCTAGGCTAGTCGCTCCTTGGCCCCCCGTAGGGCCCGAGGTAGTTACTCGGTGTGTGTGTGTGTGTGTGTGTGTGTGTAGAGTGTTATTCCTGTCCGGAATTTCCGGACAGGAGCCCCGTCCGGCCTCCTCCATTTGGGGGCCTTCCTGGTGGTATTTTTTTCTCCAATTTTTTGTGTATGTTCCTCATCAAGTCTAGTTCATCCATACCAAATTTGAGCAAAAAGTTCTGTTAGTACCCAACGTTGATAGATTTTGATGATGCCACTATACCAATAAATAAACACCTCCACCACCTAATAATCATGACTAAAAAAAAGTATCAAATAAAGTATACTGGAAACTTAAAATGCAATAAGGTAATTTTTGTTACCTTAAAAAGGATATTCAAATCCCACCAGTATAACTTTATTTGATACACAAATAAACAAAAGAATGGAAAATATTGAAACAATTGCATCAAATAAATTTCTACTGGAAAATTAAAAAAAAATTCACTAGGGTAACTTTTTTACCTTAAGGATATACAAAAGATTCTTCCAGTACATAATTTACTTGATGCATAGTAACACGCAGGGATAAGCTGCATAACAAGGGCGTAAGGCTAAAAAGCATTTAATGCAAGGTTTGTACATGGGTCCCTGATGATAAGAGATAGAAGTGATCTCTCGGAGGAAGCTGATCAGTGAAGATAAAAGGAAATCTCCTTATCCTGCTTCAACACAAGAAGACAAGAGTACAACTCTTTCTGCGACTACGATTAATTCCTCTCAACCAACGGAGGAGATTAATCTACTGAAAAGGCCTATAAAAGTAGGCAGAAGCATGAGTTCTAAAATCAAGTTTTTGAGTTATCTAAGTAGAGTATACACTTCAAACATTCAAGAGATATCTAGCAAAAGAGAAAGTGCACGTTAAACTTTGCTCTCTGCTTAGACTCATGCTTCACTAAGCTCTTAGACTAGATCATTCATTGTAACATTTATAGAGCTTAGTTTCTAGTTGGAGGTTAGAAATTTTCTTGTAAACAAATTGTTGTAAACACTTAGGAGAACAGTTGTTCGGATCCTATAGTGTGGTTAGATAGATAGAGTACCTTTTGATCCCCGCTGGATCAATTGAGAAAAGTCTTAAGGTTTGAGTAACTTGGAGTGGTGTTACTCCTCGTGAAACGCCTTCAATCTAGGCCAGAGTTGTCAAGGCTAGATTGGCACTAAATGTATTGGGCTGAATACTTTAGTGGAAATCCATTTGAAATAGAATGGGACTGGATGTAGGAGGATTACACCACCTCTGAACCAGGATATATGGTGTGTTGATTTACTTTCATACATACAGAGCACACACCAAAACACATCTCACTAAAGGTTTGTAGTTTGCCAGCAGCATCCTAAGCAGTAGTCTTCATCGACTCTACTGCTTAGCCTACTGCTTAATAACTCACTCTCCTTGAGAGTGTTTTCCACTAGAAGTTGTCTTAAACTTAGAAGGTGCCTCAGCAGTACCCTGGTCTTCACCCTCGTGCTGAGCCCACTGCCCATCCATACTTGTCTTTCCAAACTCCATAACAAGCCAGAACAAAAAGCCATCCAAGAGTCATCCTATTCTTAACAGTTGCCTCAACAGTAACCTGCCTACCAGCCAACTGCCAACTCAGCAGTTGCCTGCCAACCAGCCAACTGCCTGTGCAGCAGTAGCCTAAGCAGTTACCTGCTCACCAGTCAACTGCCAAGCCTACTTCCTCTCATAACCAGTCTAAACGTCATCTACACTAGAAAGTTATCTCACATTAAGTATAAAGAGGTTAAAGACTTCCGCTGTGCATCTATTAATCTCCCAAAAGATTATAGATCAACTCACCTAGAGGGGAAGTGTTCTTAAAATTGAAAAAGCTTTAAAAGTCTATTCACCCCCCCCCCCCCTCTAGACTTTTACCTCTATCCGGGACCATCAAGTGGTATCAGAGAGTGTGTTCCTAGAGTCAGTTTCTGACTATTTTCGAACTAAAGATCCAAATCCACTTATATCCCATAAACTTTCTAGTCATGGACAATCAACTTTCCAAAAATCTCTTGTTCAATTTAAACAAGTTTGATGACTGGAAAATCAGGATGAAGGCACATCTAAGTGCTCTACGCGATGAAATGCTGGAAGTAATCACTGATGGACCTATCAAAATTATGAAGGTCATCACTTCCAGAGTAGAAGGAGCTGAAGATGTGTACATTCCAAAACCAAAAATGGAATGGACAACTGAAGATAGGAAGAGAAACAATCTTGACAAAATCGCCAGAGACACTCTCTTCAAGGCAGTAGATGAATCCATATTTCCTAGAATAAGGAAATATGAAAATGCGAAAGATGTCTGGGATGCACTAACCAGAATTGGAGAAGGAGATGAGCAAGAAAAGGACAACAAACTGACCATTGCCCTCAAAAAGTTTGAAGACTTTAAGATGCTTCCAAATGAATCTATCCATGAGATGGAGTCTAGATTCCTAAAAATTATAGAAGAGGTCTCCGACCTAGGTAAAGTTCTCTCTCAAAAGGAAATCTCTCTCAAAATTTTGAGAGGACTGCCATCCACATGGGATATGAAAGTCACTGCTATGAGAGACAGCAGAGACCTAAGAATCCTGTCAACTGACAAATTGTTCAGTGATCTTAAAGCCTATGAATTTGAGATGAAGGAGATCAGAGAAGAAAAGGAAGAAGAAACTAAGACACTAGCTCTGGTATCTGCACCAAGTACATCAAGATCCTCTGAGAAATCACTCAACAATCTTCTCACAGATGAGCAGTTTGCAATGTTCGTGAAAAAATTTAAAAGGTTCATGAAAAGAGAAGGATCAGCCACAAAGAAGCCTTTCATTAACTCTTACAGAAGGCAAGGAAGAGCTCAATCACATGAGAACACCATTCTATGCTACAATTGTAGACAGCCAGGACACTACAAAAATGAGTGTCCTCTCTCATTGGCTCACAAGTATCAAGGGCAGCAGACTACTGCGCAAAAGAATGGATACAAAGACCTCAAAGGCAAGCGCCAAGCCATTGTAAGCGAAAAGAAGAAGGAGGATTCTCATAGTGAGGAAGAAAGCAGTTCAAGCGATGAAAGCTCTTCATCTGAAAGCTCAGAAGAAGCACTGCTCTGCCTTGGGACTTGGCAGAATACTAAAAAGAAAAGCAGCAGTGACTACCAAGAAAATTGCTCTTTCAGATGCCTCATGGCAGATGATCACTTCAGCGATGTAGAGGAAGGTGCTGGAGCACTCGACTCACAAACATGGTACATAGATTCAGGCTGCTCTAGGCACATGACAGGCAGCAGGCGGCTCCTGTCAAACTATATGGCAAGAGAAGGACCCAAAGTTACTTTTGGGAATGTGGAAAAACAAGGAGAAACCAAAGGAGCTGGAGACCTATCCATCAATGGACTTACAATCCAAAACATACACTACAAGAAATTAGATGTATTCTCCACACATAAAATAACTACACATATTATGTGTGGGCAGTCAAATACACATAATTTCATTATGCGTGGGCAATTAGTGAACGAATAAAATATTAATCAGTTACACATATTATGTGCCGGTAAATCATTTCTCTCACATTTAGATTTCGCGGGAATCATTCCCCCCCTTTTTTCACGTTAGCGGCATTTTCTAATGACGGGGTAATAAGTTACGTGGGTTTGTCGGTTTTTGAATCACACACACAATGACACAATTAATAATGTGTAGGTAATAGGGTTTCAATTACTAACACAAAAATAATATGTATTTTACAAGTGTGGGTAAAAGCTGAAAAGTGATTTAGGTTTTTCTCTAATAATAAAAGGAAAAAAAACTAAAATACACGTCACCTACCAATTCACACCCACGTCTCAAACCCTCGGTGCCGTCTAAAACCTAAGGCATACAACGTCCTGCCGATTTCTGCTGTTACCCTGAGGAATCTTTTGGCTGAAGGAAGGCCAATCAGACGAATCGGTGAACAAGGTTTTGCGTTCTTCTCTTCCTGGCGACGAAGTAGAGGTAAATTTCTTGCGACTTTACACATTGTGTATTTGATTTCTTAGTTCAGTTCATATTAGTGATCTCCGGAAGTAGAGGTAAATCGTTGTGCTTCCCTTTGAGCCTCGGGAGAGTTAAATATGTCATGGATTTCGAAGAATCATCAGGTGCAACACTCTTCTACCCAGATGAATATTATGGAGCCTAAAAGTTTCGTTTTTCCCCTCTTCTTATTGCTGCACTTAAAAGAGGCCTCCCATCCCATTCATCTTCTTCTTTTGACGATTTCAAAGTCTAATACAAAGTGATTATGTTGCCTCGTTTAGTAAGCCGTCAGTTCAAATTTTGGTTTATATTCTCTACTGAACTTTTGATTATTTAATTTGGAACTCGGTCTGAAGTTTAATACTATGCTTATTGTGTTTGTCATTTAAACATGTGTTTGATACTGAAGGATTTCAATTTTTGGTGAAGTCTACTGTTGAAAAACTTCTCTTGAACATTGATGATGCATTTGCGTTTCCTATATATGTTCTGTGCATCAGCTAATTCTATTAGTAATCTAGTTTTGTAGCATTATCAGCATATTCTGACGAAATTACCAGGTTTTGTTCGGGCATTTATTTGGCTGATTGGCTAAGATTGATTTACGAAGGTATTTGCTTTTATTTGAGTAAAAACAGGGGATGAATGATGAGAATTGATATTATTCCCAGGTTCTAGAAGTACGAGTAGTAGTGCATCTGTTGGTTTATCTTTTAGTGAGCTTGTTTTTATATATATGTCGGTATGAGATGTAAAAATCACACATAATTTGATGTGTGTGGGCTATGCTTGGGTGAATGATTATAAAGACCAAATTGAAGAGCTTTTTGGTTCTTACTATTCATCTTCCTCTTACCTAGTACATTTTTGGTACCGTATTGATTAACCCAACTGTCTATGAAGCACGAATACTTCCCTAGGGTAGCGTATCGGCGTATCCGATACGTTCCCGTATCCGATACTCTAGGATACCCGTACCCTACGTTCCCGGGGCCGTATCTGCAATTTTTAAAAGTTTCCATTTTTTTTTGTAATTTTTTGAAAGTTTCCAATACTCGTATCCTGACAGATACTCGCATCAACTTTAAAAAAAAAAAATCCCAAAATGTACTTAATAAAATTCTAAAAAAAATGAAAATCTAAAACTACATTTTACTTAGTAATCAAATAATGGGCCTATATGGCTATATCCGAATTAAGTCATTAACTCATACTCCGAATTGGGTACTTGCACTTTTAATTTCAAGATTGTAGTTGTTTGACTTATTTCTCATTTTAAATTAATGACTTATTGACTACATTTATATTTCGAGATGCACTAGTGTATATGAGAAATATTATGAATTTATTACTAAGTATCTTGAAAAAGGAAAATGCTTCAATGCAATGAATGGGTAGACATCATAGGATATTATATGTATATATATATATTTTCAAAAAAAATCTATTTTTAATATTTATATATAGACCCCTATAACTTTTAATATTTGTAAATACACCCCCATAACTTTTAATATTTATAAATATGGCCCCGTATCTGTATCCTACTTTATTTGGTTTTGAGGTATCCCCGTACCCGTTTCCGCGTTTCCGCGTACCGGTATCCGTGCTACATAGCCTACAGTTCTTTTCTTAATTTTCTGTGAATAGGTTGTTGGTTGTTTTCCACTGGCTTTGTGTCTATCTTTTTTGGTCTCCAATCACTAGTTCACCTGTTGTCATCATCAAAAAGCCCTTCTTCTGGTCTCTTGGATTTAGTAGCCATAAGAGTGTAGCATTAGTAGCATGAGGTTTATTGTCATCACCATCATCACTTTTGTGAATCAATAAAAAAGTGATTCACTTTCCTCCAACTGCTTCACTTTCGAGATCCCCCTATCTTCTTTCATCCTCTTGATATTTATTCAGGTTCTGGTTTTGCTGTCCTTATTGAAAAGATTGCAACAACAACGTCCAGGAGGATTTCAGCAGCCTTAGCCAGCGGTCATAATAAAAAATCCAAGTAGAAAACTTCTCTTCCAATTCCTTCAGGATTTTGGGGGGAAATAATAGTGGTGTGCTTCATAGGTATCTTGGTTTGGGCTTACCTAGCAACCCAGCCTCCTCCATCCAAGCTATGTGGCTCTCTAGATAGACCTCTTATCAGCTATCCCCGGTCTAGGAATTAATTTAGGTGCTAGAAGACACTCGGCTTGCAAGGAATTTGGTGTGCGTAAAGATAAAGCAACATATAAGATAGCCATCTCCAAACCACATCTATCAATCTTCACACCAGACCCCACCCTTTATCTGACCCTCTATATCAAAATGACGTTTTTCCGAGAAATTGACACTGTAATGTTAAAAATATTTCCTGATTTGTCTGTTAAAGTTGAGCTGTCTGATTGTTCAAGCTAGTGGGAGAAGAAGCTACAAATAAGCTGATTTTATTTTTGATTAATATTAAACTTGGTCTCTCTTAAATAACAGGCCCACTCTACTTTTTAAAGGAAAAATAGGCTTACCATTTGTTTTGAAAAAAGTTTCGCTGCAATTTTCTAGGCTTCTTATTGCCAAGTTAAGTTTGTTTTATAGTTCCAGAAGTGCATAAACTGAAACCAAACTATAGGTTATGATTGCAGCCCCTCCAGCAGTATATTGATTCACACTACTAATGCATTGAATAAATTCACTATAGGGTGTACATCTTTTTTCATTTTTGTTGAATTACTGTTATCTCTTGCATAAACTAAACAGTATTGTATCAATTGCCAGCAATTTAATATTATGTATAGTTTATATAGGCAATCAATTCAGTTTGGGATTTAGATAAATTATCTTCTTTCTTACCATTTCTTTCTCTGCCTCATCAATACACAAGCAAAAATGTCTCGCTGGGGCGGTAAGTGCGGCTGCGGCGCTAACTGCAGCGGGTGCAAGATGTACCCGGATGTGAGTGATTCCGAGGCGGCTACCACCACTACCGGCACCCTGGTTTTCGGCGTTGCACCCCAGGCAGCAGGATACGAAGGAGCCGAGGTTGCCCAGGGTGAAGGTTGCAAATGCAGGGAGAACTGCCAGTGCAACCTTGCAATTGCTGAAGTGATAGATTGGCATATCCCCACTCGCAAAGCAGCAGCAACAGTGTCTACTAGCTCTTAGCTTTTTATATCCTTCTATCAATACAAAATTTTTTATGATATCAACCTCTCAGTAGCATGTTATCGTTCAAGTGTGAGTGTTTATGTATGTATATGTATTGCTGAAGTGATAGATTGGCATATCCCCATTAATCATACTTATTATCCTCTTTGTTTTGCAGACATTATTTGATGTTGATTTGGAAAATGCAAATGTCAGAAAAGCTATTGATAAACACATGCAAAGAGCTTGGCATGGTTATAGACGTACGTTAAGTGACCATTTTAAAACAGTTGGAGGTGCAGATGATCTAATTAATGCAAAGAGTAAGCCTTATGAGGGTGTTAGCATTCCAGATTGGGAATATCTGTGTAATTGTTGGAGCGACCCTTCATATCTGGTAATATGTTTTAAACCTAAAGATTTGGTGCAGTTAATGAATTTTACTTTTTTTAAGAAAGCATATTTATGTCTTAAAGCTTACTCTAATAGTGAATAAGATTTCTTTTCTATAGCATGTCTCTTAGTTTATTTTGAGAAAAACAGCAGGATGCATCATTAAATATTCAATTCCTTTATTCATTACGGTGTCATTGTAAAGCTATTCTTTATGTTTTGACTATATGTCAATATTTATAATCATTACGGTGTCATTGTAAAGCTATTCAATTACTGTTGACTATATGTCAATATTTATAATCATTACTTGTGTTTATTTCACAGCAAATAGCTTTGACGAATGCTGAATCATGTAAGAAAAGAAAATGGACTTCTAGAAATGGTTCTAAAACTACAGCACGTCATCACATTAGCTGTGGGGTTGAGTTAAATGCTCCTGTTGGTCATATTGAGACGTGGCGTCTCCGTCATTGGCATCCAGAGCGTGGTTGGGTATCTGTAGAAGCCGAATCCAAATATGTAAGGGAGTGTTTGCAACTGCTTCTGCTTAAAAAAAGCACTTTTGGAGATGTAAGGAAAAAGTGAATAGTAGTAAAAGTTGATAGTGTTTGAGAAAAAAGTGATTTTGAAAAGTAAAAGTTGGTAGTGTTTGGTAAAATAAGTGTTTTTTGTGTAATAGAAAAGGGAAAAGCACTTTTCACACGCAAGTCGAGAAAAAATAAAAATTGGTAGTGTTTGGTAAATAAGTGCTTTTTAAAGCCAAAAGTTGAGAAGTGCTTTTTTTTAAGCAGTTGCAAACACTCCCTAAGTGTACTTCACAAACTGTGTGCGTTAGACCATGGCATGTTTTATTCTTTTTTTTGCTTTCAAGAAACTGTTTATTAATATTATTGTTCAATAAATAATTAAGCATCTCCACTCGAGAATGTATATGAAAGAAGTTCATTAGGCATTGGCCACTATTGCTTCAGGAGATGGATACTGTATTTAATAGTTATTGAAACCTTTCTTTTCTTCATTTCTCATCAAATGGCTAGGAATTGAATAGATAATGAACCACCTGTATCTTTTAGGAACCATCAGGCATGCGTTTGCGAGGAAACTTATGAGTTTCCACATTTGCAAAATTGCTGCTAAGTACATGTCTCTGAATGCCCTCAACCAAACTATCTTGACACCCAGATGCATAAAAAGTGCCTAGATTAGGACACTGAAGTAACAATATCTCTGGTTGCAAATGTCTACATCAATTTATGTTCAAATCTTTTATTCAATGGTGTCGATGGCATCTTTTATTCAAATTAACTAGTTTTACGTTATTGGCATGATATACATACATGTTCAGATGTTCATAGCTAATGAATTGTTACTATTTCATTCATACTTTAACAGGAAGAAATGATGGAGTTGAGAAGAGAAAAGTCACCTGAAGAGTTAACTGATAAACAAATATTAGAAAAGGTGCTTGGACGGGAATCTGTACGTCTATTTGGTTGGGGACGGTCTCCCACCGAGTCTAAAAGAAGCAAAGGTGATTCAAATATTCCCACATATACTCAACTGTTGGATCGTGTTGGAGAGCATTCAGGCACTGTTGAAATGATGAAAAAGTTGTTGATTGAGAAGAATATTATGCCTCCAATGTCACATGTTCCATCAGATAATTGTTCAGGAGCGCTTTATCGTGGGTCATCCTCCGATGGTCGAGCTCAGCACGTTGGCAGTTATGAGGACTCGACTTCTGAATATGATGACATTGTGTAGAAGATAAATTCATATTAGTCCTAATACTTTGGAGTGTGGTACTAGCTAGTTGTTTAATTTTGTTTGACATTGTTTGAATAGCTAAATTTTTCTGAAATTGAATATTTTAGTTTGAATTATGACATCTATCGTTTTTATTGATTGTGCATTGCAATGTTCGCTAGTATTAAATGCAATTGTTTGATACTCACATTTAATAAATAAATATAGTATTTAATAAAATAGTTCTATCAATTCATAAATATTAATAACTACAAACAAGTTGTTTTACCCACGTTTAAAAATAATTTACCTACACATAGACAAAATTTTTACCCACACATAGGCATAATTTTTACCCACACATATTTATGTCCACGTGATAGCGGCTAAAAGTCATCACATATGCCACGTCATCAAACACGTCACACCAGAATATCCACGTCACATGCCACGTCGGCAGCCACGTGTACTTCCACGTCATATGCCACGTCACGGCTTCTTTGCTCAAATGACTAATAACTACGCATATAAAAGTGTTTTAGTTACACATACATGTGTAGCTATAAATAATAATATTACCCACACATAATTTTAAGTGTAGCTAATAACATTCTCCTACGGTTTCGTACCCACACATCGGCACACTTATAATATGTGTGGGCAAAGATTATTACCTACACATACCTATTGTTTTACCAACACATATGAGTGTGGGTAATACATCTAATTTCTTGTAGTGATATCTTATGTTAAAGGATTAAAGTTCAATCTCATAAGCACAAGCCAGCTCTGTGACAATGGCTATAATGTTACATTCTCCAAAGACATCTGCTTGATTAGAGATGTCAAAAACAACAAAATTGTGCTCACTGGTAGAAGGAAGAAGGACATGTACATTGTTGAATGGAGCTCAGCCAAGGAAGGTACCTGCCTGATAACAAAGGCAGACTCACAATTAAGTTGGGAATGGCACAACAAACTAAGCCATCTCAACTTCAAAACCATCAAAAAATTGTCCAGAAAAGGGTTGGTGAAAGGTCTTCCAGAAATCAACTTCAAAAAGGATCATCTTTGTGATGCATGTCAAAAAGGGAAGCAAACAAAGGTACCATTCAGATCCAAAGAAGTAGAGTCATCCACTAGACCACTGAGCCTTCTGCACCTTGACTTGTTTGGACCAGTTGATCCAACAAGCCTAAGTGGCAAAAGATACACTCTAGTAGTTGTAGATGACTATTCAAGATTCACATGGACTTTATTCTTGAAGAAGAAAAATGAAACCGAAAAAAGGCTCCCAGAATTGATGAAACTCATCCAAAATGAGAAAAGCACATCAATCCAGAAGATTCGATCTGATAGAGGTACTGAATTCCTAAATTCAATAGTAATTCAGCACTGTGAAGAAAGTGGAATACATCACCAAACTTCAGCAGCAAGAACACCTCAACAAAATGGTGTTGCTGAAAGAAGAAACAGGACTCTCAAAGAAGCAGGAAGAACTATGATTGAAGCAGCAGGCTTGCCCAAAAGATTTTGGGTGGAGGCAATCAATACAGCTTGTTACACCCAGAATAGAAGTCTTATCCACAAGACTTACAAGAAGACTCCTTACGAACTATGGAACGGAAGGAAACCAAATATTAGTCACCTTCATGTGTTTGGATGTAAGTGTTACATTCTAAACAATGGAAAAGACTATCTCAAGCCTTTTGACGCTAAATCAGATGAAGGAATCTTCCTGGGCTATTCATCAACAAGCAAGGCTTTCCGAATACTAAACAAGAGAACTCTGGTGGTAGAGGAATCAATCCATGTGGTCTTTGAAAACCACACCACTGCTCATAAAGGAGGTGAAAATGATCCATCAAAAGAAATGAAGGATGGTGAGGCTCCAAGCTGCCTTCCCAGCAACGAAAAACAAATAGAAGGGAGAATTCTTGAACCAGCAGGTGACTGCATAAGCAGATCACTGCCAGCAGGTGACTCTAACTGGAGACATCCACCAGCAGAGGACTTCACCAAAATTGGAACTCCCAAACTCCCAATTCTATCTGAAGAAAGTGATGAAGAAGAGGAAGAAAAGAAGTTGACTCAAATTAATCAATCATCTGATGCTAAATGGTTAAGTCAACATCCTCCTCATCAAATCATTGGAAACATTCATGAGGGAGTGCGAACCAGATCATCAATTCAGAAAGAAGCCATGTTCTCATGTTTTATTTCACAAACTGAACCCAAGAAGGTTGAGGAAGCCCTATTAGATTCTGACTGGATACAAGCTATGCAAGAAGAACTCAATCAATTTGAGAGAAGTGAAGTATGGGAGCTTGTATCTAGACCCTATCATCAACATGTGATAGGAACCAAATGGGTATTTAGAAACAAAATGGATGAGGAAGGCGCCATCATAAAAAACAAAGCAAGATTAGTAGCCAAAGGTTACTGCCAGGAGGAAGGAATCGATTTTGATGAAACTTTTGCTCCTGTTGCCAGACTTGAAGCAATAAGAATATTCCTGGCTTATGCTGCTCACAAACAGTTCACTGTCTATCAAATGGACGTGAAGAGTGCCTTCCTAAATGGCTTACTCGAAGAAGAAGTCTATGTAGAGCAGCCACCTGGATTTGAGGTAAACAGAGAGAAAGATCAAGTCTACAAACTAAAGAAGGCTCTCTATGGACTCAAACAAGCTCCAAGAGCATGGTATGAAACTCTCTCTCAATATTTGGTGAACAATGGATTCAATAAAGGCAAGATAGACAAAACTCTCTTCAAAATTGAAAACGGTCCAGACATACTGCTTGTCCAAATTTATGTTGATGACATAATATTTGGAAGCTCAAACCAAGCACTATGCGAGAAATTTTCAGCTCTCATGCAAAGCAAATTTGAAATGAGCATGATGGGAGAGTTGAACTATTTCCTGGGACTACAAGTTAAACAGACTTCTCAAGGTATCTTCATCAATCAAGCCAAATACACAAGGGATCTCATGAAGAAATTCAAGGTTGAGAACAAGTCCACGGTGAAGATTCCTATGAACACCTCGCAAGGCCTAACTCCAGATGAAGAAGGTAAAGACATTGATCCTACACTATACAGAGGATTGATCGGATCCTTGTTATACCTTACCACGAGTAGACCAGACATATCCTACTCTGTTGGGGTATGTGCAAGGTATCAATCAAAACCAAAAGAAAGCCATCTTCTAGCAGCAAAGAAAATATTGAGATACCTCAAGGGTAATCCGAATTCTGGATTATGGTATCCAACAAGTGGAGGCTTTGATCTATATGGATACTCAGACTCAGACTTTGCTGGGTGCAAAATTGACAGAAAAAGCACCTCTGGAACCTGTCAATTGATTGGAGGAAGACTTGTCTCATGGTTCAGCAAAAAGCAAAACTCAATTGCTACTAGCACAGCTGAAGCAGAATACATAGCAGCTGGCAGCTGTTGTGCACAAATACTATGGATGAAGCAACAATTAAAGGATTATGGAGAAGAGACTAAAGAAATTAGCATTCTGTGTGATAACACAAGTGCAATTGCGATCACTCATAATCCTGTATTTCACTCAAGAACCAAACACATTGAAATCAGGCACCATTTCATCAGAGAGCATGTTGAGAAGAAAACCATCAAACTGGAGTACATCCCCACAGAAAAACAACTAGCTGATATCTTCACCAAGCCTCTCAGTGAAGCACGGTTCAATTCCTTAAGGCAGGAGCTTGGAATGCTTGACGACCTTGATCAACTTAAAAATTGATGTTGCATCAACTCAGGGGGAACCTAACTATTTTGATCATAAGGAGCATCATCAAAAGGGGAAAAGATACTCAGAAACAGGGGATTGAAGCAACAAGGTCCGAACAAAAGAAAAAGAAGAAGACTCAGCAGAGGTCTAAGCAGAGGTCCCTGCCATAAGAAACTTCTAGCAACAGGAGACTGGGGCAACTACAGCAGACTCACAGACCTCAAGAAGAAGGAGTTCCCTGCCATGCTGGACTTCACACTCAAAACTACTCAGAGGATAACAAACACATGCTCAGTCCTGTGAGTCACTAACTCAAGACATTGCTAAGAGCTTCACCACAATTCAGAAGAGTACTCAAGAAACCTTCTGAAAGCAAGACAGTGATTTCCAGGAAGAATCTATGGTCTCAAGGAGAGAAAAGTTTGCTCAGAAGAAGAAGTTGAAGAGTTCTTCGAAGAAGCCCAACAGGAAGATGCTGCCAAAAAGGGGGAAGACACCTCAGCAGGACCCTCCTCAAGAAGACAGATAGCAGCAAAGAAGGCAGCTGCAAATAGTCCGAAAGTGACTATAAACTACTGTAAAACATTGCATTATTCTTCTTTTGAACTAAAGAAAATCTGTCCTGCTTGATATAGTTTTGGCATCATCAAAAAGGGGGAAATTGTTAGTACCCAACGTTGATAGATTTTGATGATGCCACTATACCAATAAATAAACACCTCCACCACCTAATAATCATGACTAACAAAAAGTATCAAATAAAGTATACTGGAAACTTAAAATGCAATAAGGTAATTTTTGTTACCTTAAAAAGGATATTCAAATCCCACCAGTATAACTTTATTTGATACACAAATAAACAAAAGAATGGAAAATATTGAAACAATTGCATCAAATAAATTTCTACTGGAAAATTAAAAAAAAATTCACTAGGGTAACTTTTTTACCTTAAGGATATACAAAAGATTCTTCCAGTACATAATTTACTTGATGCATAGTAACACGCAGGGATAAGCTGCATAACAAGGGCGTAAGGCTAAAAAGCATTTAATGCAAGGTTTGTACATGGGTCCCTGATGATAAGAGATAGAAGTGATCTCTCGGAGGAAGCTGATCAGTGAAGATAAAAGGAAATCTCTTTATCCTGCTTCAACACAAGAAGACAAGAGTACAACTCTTTCTGCGACTACGATTAATTCCTCTCAACCAACGGAGGAGATTAATCTACTGAAAAGGCCTATAAAAGTAGGCAGAAGCATGAGTTCTAAAATCAAGTTTTTGAGTTATCTAAGTAGAGTATACACTTCAAACATTCAAGAGATATCTAGCAAAAGAGAAAGTGCACGTTAAACTTTGCTCTCTGCTTAGACTCATGCTTCACTAAGCTCTTAGACTAGATCATTCATTGTAACATTTATAGAGCTTAGTTTCTAGTTGGAGGTTA